TACTTGATGTATGTACCGCTTTTTGCTTAATGATATGCATCGTATTTTCTTTGAAATTTCATTACACTATCTTCTTACTTGCATACTCCTTTCACTATGGGATTACTTCTTTTTGATTTTGCCAAAGGGGGAGAAACATATACTAAATTGCGAAATATTCAATTACTCAAGTTGCAAGGTAAATAGGGGGAGATATTGAAAATTAATAATAACCTATGCCATGTACTAAGGGGGAGTACTATATTTCAATTGAATGAATTTATGCAACACTAACTCTCTTTCTCAATTTAAAGTTTGTCATCATCAAAAAGGGGGAGATTGATGAATCAAAGTGATGATGTGGATACAACGTATACTTGATGATTCCACGACAACATGGTTTTGATGATAACAAAGAGGAATGATTCAAAGACGAAGCAATATCCAAAAAGCAAATGTGAAAGCATGCACCAAGTCTCAAGCATCAATCCAAGTCCAGAATCTCAAATGGTATACTTATTTAGGACTTAGGATAAATATGTAATGATGTATAGATACAAAGCATTACATGAGCTCAAGGTCATTCATCAATCATATATTTTAAAAGCATGCATCCTTAAAAGAAAAGTCAAGACAAATGATTTCATATGTACAATATTGGTTTGGAAGAAGTACCTATGTGATACAAACTTTTCTAGATAATTTCCATAACAAATAACATGCATTACACGTCATAAAAATCATTTGGAAAGAGTAGAAACTCAGAACTCGTACAAAAAGGCTGCTGCTATGAAATATCCGGATATTCCACTTTGAATATCCGGATATCCGATATCCAATATCTGGATATGGAACCAAGAATATCCGGATATGTGCCCGATAAATATCCAGATATGTACGGATTACAACGGCTAGAAACGGCTAATTTTCATAGGAGGTGTCATTATAAATACTCACATCAGCTGGGATGAACAGTACACGACCCTAGATCATTTATTGAAGCTTTATTACTCTAGCTAGCCTTTTATTGCTCATTAATTACTTACTTTGATCATTGCATACACTTGAGCTCATCTTTCCTTTGAAGTTATACATCTCTTAGTTCTTCAATTTGTTCAATCTGTACTTTGAGAGTACTTAGCCACTTCTAATCACCTCAATCTTATTTCTTGATTTGAGAGGGGAGTGAACCCTATACTTGAAAGGTTATCAAATTCCTAAGTAAATTTGGAGTGAAAAATTGTGAGGCATCAAGAGCCCAAAGTCTTGAAAGGTTGTAGAGGTTTGTCAAGCACCCTCAAGCTTGACATTTAGTGAAAAGAATTGATCGAGCGGCTTCAGTCTGGACGTAGGTCACGGTGGTGGTGACCGAACCAGGATACATCTAGTTTGCAATTTCTCTAACCTTTACCTCTTTACTTTATTATTGAAATTGCATCTTTAGATTGTCTTTATTCATTCGCTTGCTTACTTTGTTAATCTCTACACTTGCTCTCACACTTAGATTTTTTCTTATTAAATCACTTTATTGAAGAAATAGTATTTAAAATTTCAAAGGAGGCACTTTGCGAAAAGATTTTGTAAAACTCAATTCACCCCCCCCTCTTGAGTATTGAAGCCACTTGTCCAACACATTTCGTTGTAAACGGTTAAGAATTTTCAACGGAATTTAATTCCGTTGAAATTTTCGACTGAGTTATAGATAAATTTCGTTGCAAACTGAGATGGAACATTTCGACAGAATTATTTTTCGTTGAAATTATAGACGGAATTATAGTTAAATTCCGTCGAAAATTGTGACGGAATTTTTCAACGAAAATTAATTTCGTCAAAAATTTCAATGGAATTTTTGTTAATTTCTGTTGCAAATTGAGACAGAATTTTTTGACATGTATATTTTTCCGTTGAAATTTTCAACGAAATTTATTATTTTAATATTTTTCCATGACTTTATTTATTGACGGAAAAGTAAGGCTTCCAACGGAATACATTCCGTTGAAGTTTTCAATGGAAAAAAATTTCGTTGTAAATATCAACGGAAAAAAAATTCTGTTGCCTTTCGACGAAGGGTTATCCAACAGCAGAATTCCGTTGAAAATTCCGTCGAAAAATGATTTTTCAACAGAATTTTCATAATTTCCAACGGAAAAATTCCGTTGAAAATATTAACATTTCTAGTAGTGAGTTTTTCATCTAACCAACATCCAACATCAAATACTCATGATTTAACTTCATCATATTCAACCTTAAACCATAGAAAAACTAAGATCATATCTCAATATTCAGCCATTAGAACTCAAGTATATTGCCTTAAATAGCTTCCAAGACAACTAGAGATTGTTCTTCACGCTTCAAACCATAAAAAATATCATATTTTTACTCCAAAACAACATATAGTTTGAACAAAGGAGAGGAAGAAAACTCACTAAACTCAGACTCTCTTGAAGAACTAAGGGTATGGTTATGATCACAAGAGTACAAGCTTAAAGTTTTGTGTAGAAATCTTTTTTTTTTTTGTAAATAAAGAGGGGCTAAGCCCCAGAAACAGAAAGAAATTACAAATCAGAAACTAACAAGCTAGACATATTTCTAGCATCAGCAACTATAAGTTCCATCAACTGAGGAGGAGGATCTTTAAAAATCTTGAAATGGAGATTATTAGTCTGCCCAGCTTTAGCTAACCAATGAGCACATTTGTTGTTTTCTCTCTTGGTATGAACAAGATGAATAGTCCAATCTGCTTTTAACCATAATCTCAATCTGCTAGTGACTTGAGAGTCCCTAGGATCTTCATGCTGCTCCTTTAACATCTGGATGGCTTGGCTAGAATCACATTCTAGCTCTATTCTTTTTAATCCTGTTCCCCAAAGCAGTTCCAAACCTTTCAGTAATCCCCATAATTCTGCATCAAGAGGATTGCAGGAACCTAAATTACAATAGAAGCTTCCCAAAAAGGATCCATTGTGTATAACTCTCAAGATTCATGCTTGCTCTTCTTGCTCTCATAGGTTCGGCCATACATAGAAGAAAGAAAGAGAAGAAGGTGTGGAGACTAAGACAAAAAGAGAGACAACCGACTTGTACATCAAGAAAATGACAAGGTAACTTAGGAGTTTTCCTTTATCTTTGACTTTATCAAGTTATGTTGAATCCAATTGGTTGTCAATTATGCGTACTTTGCCTAATTTATTTAATTTTCTCTAATCATAATCAGATCAATCTAAGATCACTTTGAGTCTATAAAATTGGCCAAACTATTTAATTAAACCATCAAAATTAAGTTTAGGCCAAATTTTGTCTAATTATAAAATGGTCCCTAAACTTTCACATATTTATACTTTGACCCATAAACTTTTCAAATAATATCATTTGAATCCTAACTGACTTGTCTTACATGAATTGTATCCTCATGCTTCTTATCATGTCATTCACAAGATTTACTCGTCAAAAGCTTACTTATCTCTAAATTTGCAAAATCTAATAATCAACTTCATAATCATCTTAAATCATCAAGACTTACTAGTGATCAGAGTCATTAGAAGTTCGATTCGAGGTGAGTCCCGAGATTAAGATTTTAGTTAATGCTAATAATAGTCATTTTATTATTATTTTTATACAAGTAAAAATTAAACACATAACTTAGTATAAACTACCCAAACCTACCAAACCTAATGGCTTAGTCATTTTATTATTTATGAATATTCTAATTTGTAAATTTTCTACGAACATTAATTAGTAGCAGTTAGTTTCCATAATGCACTTTTTCATCGGTAGTGGTTTTATATTGTTTGTTTAACCTTGTTGGTGCATCACGAATATTAATTCATGCGGATTTTTTTAAATTTCTTGGTATGAAATGGTATAGCTCATATCCTCGGTATCAATATATAAGAAAGAAAACGGGAAGGAAAATAGCTTAACACAAAAACTACATAGGTATCCATGACTTGCCAATTTTAAATGTACTATATATTATAGTTTTATGACTTATGTGCCGTAACTTTGAAGAGTTGCCAAAATAAACTAGATCTCGTGTGTACCACAAAGTAACAAGTTGTTTTTTTAGAAGAAATTTGTAGAGTTTTTAATAAAAAAAATTGTAAAGAACCAATTCAACCCAAAAGTTTAAGGGTGGATAATGCAAGAAAAAGGGAAAGCGATGAGAATCGAACCCCTGACACCGAGAAAGAACTATTTCAACCCAAAACTTTAAGGGGTTGGGAGAAAGATTTTTTAATGATTTATATTATTCTCTAACTTTTATCTTTAACACATCCCCTTACAAGCTTGAAGTGTGGACATTGCACAAGCCTAATTTTTAGTTTACCTTGTACTTATTTTAATTTCACTCGAAAGTGAGAAACGGTAAGGATCGAACTCGTGACATTGTGGTGAATGATGCTCTGATACCATGTAAAAAACTAATTTAATCTAAAAGCTTGAATTGTTGGGTGATGGTTTTTTTAATGATTTTATATATCTCTAACATGTCCCTCACAAGAGAAAGTGGGAGGCGGTGAGAATCAAACCTAGGACACGAGACTCTGATACTATATAAAGAACTAATTCAACCCAAAAACTTAAATTGTTGGCTGAAAACCTCTTTAATAATTTATATTATACTCTAACAGAATTCTTTATTTCTTCTTTGCGATTTAAAATTGATAATTTTAATTTTTCAATGCATATATGGGACGATATTTTATTCAGAAACAAAATTTACGGTCACAATTAATATGCCATATCTTACCTTCAATCTGAAAAATAAACAAAGCAATTTGGAAATTCATGAATTGTAACGAGCACAAGTTAGATTAGACACCTTGCTAATTACCAGGGAAAATAACCAATAATGCAATGCAAAATAACAAACTAATTCAGAGTATTAATGTATGGTAAAACAAATGAAAATAAAAATTTCACATACTCCACTTTCTGTCTTTCTCTGTCGTAATAGCTGAATCATCCAAATAAAACTCCCTCAGTCGAAGCATAGCCCTTCATGAAAAAAGGTATGAAACAGATCCATCGCATGCTTATTCAAAACAAGTCCCACTTCAACACCACTCTTCCCATCCTTGCTCTCAGCTATGCCAATGTTTAAACCTCTATCGAGTGATGTTATCTCCACCTTAGCAGGCCTTCCCCAACCAAAGTCTGTCTCATAAACTCCAAACCGTGTTGACCCTGAAACTCCAATTATTTCAACTCCCTCACTTAACATAGACAAAAGTCTCAGAGACAATGTCTCAGCTCCATCAAGAGCTCTCTTATCCAACATTTTTAATTTACTGTAAATCTTCTCGGCAACAATGACCACCCCATCTTCTTTTATAAAGTCATCTTGCTGTGTATCCACTATATGAGAAGATACACAATTGCCAACATAGTTCTCAGGGATTGGAGGCTCTAACCGAGCCCTGCAATCCATAGAAAATGCAAAAGCAAATTTCTGTTTATCCCTTTTGGTTTCTTGAACAGCTTTAGCAATGCAGACAGAAACAAAAGCACAGGTAAGAACAAAAGTTGACAAAGTAGTTGGCTTTGAAGAAGCCATTGATTGTTCTCCTTCCACCATATGCCACTTGGATAACACCCTTTTCTTTATATTCTCCAAATCTCCACGTGTAAGCTCGAACGTGCCTCGAACTGAATTCTCCACAAGTGGTCGAAATGCATTTGACAAAATCTTCAAGCTTCGCTCGTTACTGGTATCATCAGTAGGGTCCAATATGGGTGACATTACTTTCCAATTGTTTATGAACAAAAAGTCAAGGCCATTTGGATCTTTGATGACTTCCCTGTCAAAGAAGGGCTCTAACCCTCGCACCAAAGATGGTGATTCTTCACCTGATTTACATAGAGAAGCCCAGGCCGTGGTGAACATAGTTGAAGATTTTCCATCAAGAACAGCATGGTGGGTGCTGATGCCGATGCAAAATCCACTGTTTGGAAACAGAGTTATCTGTAGGGAGATAACAGATGCAAGAGAATCTGATGATTCCAAATGGGGTACAAAAGAACGAGATTCTATGGCTTCACGGGGTGAATTGTCCAATACAAGATTGAAATCTGCATCATACTCTGCCAGGACCAAGGAAACACCATCACCAGGGTTATATTGGATGAAGGGTTTCTGGGAATCAGAAGGCCAAACGATGTTACCAGCTAAAGGGAGGAAGTGTTGGAGGATAAGAGAGAGTGAGGTTTTGAGCTTTGGAACCACTTTTTCATAGAAAAAGGATGGGTTTGAATGAGGAAGAGGAAGGGAGTAGAAGAAGATGCGCTCAACTGGATAGTACCTTAGGCGAAGGAGGTCAAAGAAGGTGAGAGGGAGAGACAAGTTGGTTGAAGATGAAGGAGCAACAAAACAGTGTTGATGAATTTTGATAGAATTGTTGGGAGAAGCCATGTGGATGAGACAGAGGAAATGCTTGGTTGCAGATTTGTGTGAACCACTGTGAGGGGTAGCTAGATTTTTATGTCCGACATATTGCGTGATTTAAGTTAATTATTATTACTGCATAAGCCTTATTATTTACCACTTCAAAGTTTTATGATCTCTTACAATTTATTCTTACTTTTTCGTTATTAATTTTCGTCAATTTTTTTTATAAATAATTTGTCAATTTAATAATTATAATTTATTAAAATTAATAAATAAATATAATCTAATAAATCATAACGGTTAGAGAATTAACAGAAATCATTGGTAAAAAATAAATTATAAAAAATTGTAAGAAAAAAATTGTAAAAAGTAACGCTCGTTATTATTTATCGGTTTATTCAAAACTTAAGTTCTTTGTTCTGCATAAGCACAATGGCTTTTGACTTATTTTATTTTATTTTGAAATAATTGGCTTTGACTTATTTAAAGTACTCATTATTATGCGCATCATTAAATAGATTTGAATCCTCTCATATATAAAAGTGATCATGTTATTTGATTACAATAATATGATAAGAGAAAAAAAAATGTATGATTTTAATGATTTTTAAATGAATGATTGTGATCAAATAATATGATTACATGACCATTTTTTTATATGAAAGGATCTAAATCTCTTGTAGATATATCTTTTGGTTAAAATTTCTTTCCACCCACCATAAAAAAATGTTTTGGAAATCGAAAATACTTTTCTTATGTTACATAAGAGAAATATTATTTCCTACACTCATTAATAAACCTTTGATTTATCATGTTTTTAGGCTAAATTATATGAAAAATATATCATATATTGCATGAAATTCAAGGTTTTACAGCATATAAACCATGAGATAGGAATTTGAACTAATATTTTAATTTTCTTTGTATTTCAAAGATAAATCCATAATATTTTAATTTTCTTTGCTAAGAAGTGATAAAGAAATCGTAACAAAGAGTTGCAGCTGAAATGAGACTTTTTCAAATACGGGTCAAGGCTCGGGGTTTGCAATCCCTTTTATTATGGGTTCAAATTTCAAATATTATTTCATTGAAATGAGACTTTTTCAAAGGCTAAATTTGGAAATCGATTATTTATATATTAATATTTTTACCCAACTTTATGGGGACAAGGATCAATATATTATTATTTTGATAAAAATATTACTCAAATGCCATGTTCCTCGACCTTTTTACGGAAATTTCACGTTAGAAGTTCGGTGTTAGGTTCAGCAATTTTGTAAAGAAATAAAAGAGGTAAATATGTATTATTTATATTTTTAAATTAAAAATCTCTAATATACTATAATATTTTTGTATCCATTTTTAATTTTTATTATATTAATTTAATAAAATATTGATCAATTTTTTTATAATATATATTAAAATTTTAGACATGAGTACCTGTGAGAGTGTTGAAAGGTGCTATATAGATCACAACCACAGTGCTGAAAGAATGAGCTGAATCGATTACCAAAAAAAAAAAAAGCTGAATTACTTGTCTGACATTGCATTGGTGAAAATTCCACTCTCTCTCGTACCCTCACATTAGACTCGAAAACTTCGGGTTCTCTCTCAAGACTGCAGTAGCATCATGATTCAGCAGATCCTCATAATTTGGTCCCTGCACACAAAAAACAGATTAGAATCTAAAAATTATTAACAGAATTACTTTAAATTATTTTGAAACACAATATAACTTTTTACTTAATAAATTAGGCTGATCGATCCGTGTATACTTAATTGTTTATATAATTATTTGACTTGCTACAATCACTCCGTAAAGAAAGAAAGAAATGCTAATAAGATAATTTACAATTTTTAATATGTATTATTATTGGGTTACTTATGCTAAAATTACTAAATAACTTGAATTCATTTTCAGTTTGTGATACTAGAACAAGATCTCATCTAATGATTAAAAAAAAAAAGTGTCTTGGATCCCGTGTTCAATTTCATTTTATGTTCAACATTTGTGTCTGGCATGGATTGACAAGTTAGAACGGCATGAACACGCACAACCTTTAGGCTACAAGTTAATTAATAGCCATAGTTTAATATTAGAGCTTGAGAGGATTCTGAAACTTTATATTAAGCGAAGCAAATTCTGAAACAGCACAAAGCACAAAAATAAAAAATCAAGTGCAATTATGGCTACAATCAAAGGCCGTAAAGCAAATGAGATCTTCCAAGGTCAAGCTCTCTTGTATAGACACATGTATGCCTTCTTAGACTCTATGTGTCTTAAATGGACCGTTGAGCTAGCCATACCAGACATAATCCACAACCATGGTCAACCCATAACTCTTCCTGAGTTGTTGTCAATTTTGCAAGTTCCACCAACTAAAGTTTGTGGCGTGCAGCGTCTCATGCGCTACTTGACTCACAATGGAATCTTTGAGATAGTAAAAATCCATGACAAGTACAACCAAGAAGAGAAGGAAGCATATGCTCTCACTGTTGCATCAGAGCTACTTGTCAAAGGCACTGACCATTGTTTAGCTCCAATGGTTGAGTGTATTCTTGACCCAACTCTGTCAAGTTCAGCCCATCAGTTGAAGAAATGGATTTATGAGGAAGATCTCACACTATTTGATGTCTCCTTGGGGTCTGGATTTTGGGACTTTCTTGATAAAAACCCTGCATATAATAGTTCCTTCAATGAGGCAATGGCTAGTGATTCTCGAATTTTAAACTTGGCATTAAGAGATTACAATTTGGTCTTTGAGGGGCTGGAATTTATTGTGGACGTAGGAGGTGGAACTGGAACCACAGCCAAGCTTATCTCTGAGACATTTCCATATTTGAAGTTCATAGTGTTTGACCGTCCACAGGTTGTAGAGAATTTGCCCGGAAGCAACAATTTGACTTATGTTGGTGGGGACATGTTCCAATCTATTCCTAAGGCTGATGCAGTTCTACTCAAGGTATGTGTATGCAAACTAAAATCTAGGGCCTTTTTGCCCGTTAACTTGAAAAGGGAAATATTTTCCCTGATTCAAAAATCAAATATTTTACCAAAATAATACAAAATAATACAGTGAAACATATATGGGGATGTGTGTATTCAATTTGCGCGTGGGGATGTATGCATTCAATTTGCGTATAGAGATGATATCCGATTTGTATGTATGAGAATGTGCGCTTTCAAGTTGCGTATAAGGTAATGTGCAATTTGCAATGAAGATTTTGTTTTACACAAATTATACATCACTTTATGTGCGACACACACTCTATGCATATTGTTTTAGCAAAATATTTGACTTTTAAATCATGTTGGAAAATATTTCCCTATTGATATTATTATAGTCAAATGGCCAAAATATAGTCTTCAACTTGTTAATTTACCGAAAATTTATGTATTTCATGCCACATTAAGTACCAAAAAAAAATATTTCTAATCTTGTTTTTTTTTTTTCCTTTTCCTCCAGTGGATTTTACATAATTGGACTGATAACGATTGCAGAAAGATATTGGAAAAATGTAAAGAAGCTATTTCAAATGATGGCAAAAGAGGAAAAGTAATTCTCATAGATATTGTGATAAATGAAAAGCGAGATGAACATGAAATTACTCAAACAAAGCTTCTTATGGATGTAGCGATGGCGTGTCTTAATGGAAAAGAGAGAACTGAAGAAGAATGGAAGAAACTCTTCATGGAAGCAGGCTTCCAAGACTACAAAATATCTCCTTTGACCGGATATTTGTCTGTTATTGAGGTCTATCCTTAAACATTATTGTTGTGATCCATTTAATAGTTTACATGTTATAAACTAAATAAAGTTGTAATATGTATTTTGATAAAGGCATTGGTCATTTTGGTCTAAAAGAATATTTTGTGGTTCCTCTGAACTTGGTGATTTTCTTCTTAATACATGCATAGCTTCTAAAGCTGAAGTAGCCCGAGGTAGGGTCATTTGTCTTTTACAGTACATGCGGTCAAGTTTGAGTATTTGCTTTGTATTCATCTCGCTTTTCTGGTTTTGTTGTACAATGGCCAGAGTCAGTTATTGGAAAAGAAATTTTAGTTTTTTCGTTCCCCTTTATTACCTTGATCACTAGATGATTAACACTCCTGAAGCATTATTGCTAGTTTTGCCTCATATAATTTTAATTTGCCTGAGTAGGCTGCACAATTGATATTAACCAGGCTTACAAACCCGATAAATATAAGTAGAAAACTTTCCTTTTATGTTTGGATAAAGGAAATAAAATAAAACTCATGCAATTACGGACTCCTAAATGTTGTTGATTTTCATCTAGACACTGATGGAGCTCAGCTCATGTTGTAGAAGTTCATTTACGGACTCCTAAATGTGCATGATGATCATCAAGTTCAAAAAGAACGAAAGCACCACATGATATGAGTCTATAACTTGTTAAAAGAGAACGAATGGGAAAAATGAAATGAATAATGTATCCTATTGCATGAATGGAATTTACTAATTAAACATGTCCAAAGTACACAAGGGCGGACCTACATGGGGGGCGTGCATGGGCGGCCTCCCCCTCTAAAATCTGAAAAAAATGTCTACATTCTCCAAAAAAACACATAGTATATTTCATTTTTAATAATTGGTGGGTTACTTTAGCAAAACTAGTATTGTGTGCCCTTTGGATCTGAAATTAGTTGCATTGATTTTATCTTGTTGATGATCGGTATAGTCTTTTTTGTTCAAAGCTTTCAACTTCACTTTCTGAGTCTCCTTCTTTTGCTTCATTTGATACCCAAAATCTGTTAGCATAAGAAAGAAGCTTGATACCCATTTTCCTGTTGTGAGTATTTTCACTTTCTCTTTGTAAAGTTTTGATCTTTTTGTAGTTTCATGCTGTTCGAATGCTCAAAAACCAACAGAAATTGAAAGAAAAAAAATGGGTATAAAATAATTATAGTTTGCAATAATTTTTGGAATTTATTTGTTTAGCTTTATGGTGCTTGATAACTGAAGTAGTGATGTGGGCATTATGGAACTTTATGACGTTAGTTTTAGGTGCTCGCCTAATTTGGGTTCTACGAGCTTCCCCCTCTTTTTGGATTTATTTTAGTTATGTAATTATATTTGTTATTAAAATTATTTAATGAGTGCATCTCTTGAGACCGCTGTACATGTTTTTTGGTTTAAGATTGTGATCTTACTTTTCATTGTTGACATGGCACATGGCAATGAAGTAATTTATGTTAAATTCGTCAATTTAGTATCCTTGTTAAATTATATTTTATTTAAAATTCTATAAGTTGGATTTGTTAAATTTTCGCCCCCTTCATATCATTTTTTGGGTCCGCCACTGAAAGTACAGCATTTACTAAGTAAACATGTCCAAATTACAGCAATTCTTTACATCCAACAGTACAAAATTTAGTTTGAATTCGTTGCTGTATTATTCAAAAAATTACAGCATTTACTAATTAAACATGTCCAAATTACAGCAATTCTTTACTCCAACGGTACAAAATTTATCAACAATAGACGTCCTAGCAAGATCCCCCTAATTAATTTGGTTTGGGAAAGGATCCGTTTACAAATTTTTTTTACAAATTACACTAAGTATGACCGGTAGGGGTGCTAAACGAGCCAGGGGCCTTTGGCTCGGCTCGTGAAGGCCTGAGCTTTTATGTCTAAAATTGATTGTTGGAACCAGACTTGGACTTGTATAAAGCTTGTTTGATAAAAAGGCCTCAGGCTCCAATTTAAAAGTTCGGCCTTAGGGCTTCTCATCGTCATATTCAGGATAACATTATTGTGGTCCAAGAGTTAGTGCATTCAATGAGGAAGATGAGAGGTAAAAGGTGTTTTATGGCAATCAAAATTGATTTGGATAAAGCTTATGATCGCCTCAATTGGAATTTCCTCAGAAATATTTTAATGGAGATTCAAATTCCTGGGCATCTTTCTGAGTTAATCATGACTGTTGTTTCCTCCCCTAAAACTAGCATTTTATGGAATGGGAACATAACGGATGAATTTCAGCCTAGTAGAGGGGTTCGTCAGGGGGATCCAATATCCCCGTATTTGTTTGTATTAGCTATGGAGAAGCTATCCCATATTATTCAAACTGCAGTAGATGGTAATTTGTGGCATCCTATCAAAGCAGGTAAAGGGGGTCCAAAAATTTCTCATTTACTATTTGATGATGATTTAATGCTCTTTTTAGAAGCTAGTGAGGATCAGATGCATATACTTCTCCGCTGTTTGAACGTTCTTCGTGAAATTTTTGGCCAAAAAGTTAGTGATCAGAAAAGATTATTCAGATCAGTGGTTTTAAGAGAGTGACAAATATCGGCAAGTATCTTGGAGCTTTGATTCAGCATGGTAGGGTCACTAAATCCACCTTTGCTAGTGTAGTAGATAGAGCAAAAGGAAGATTGACTAGTTGGCAAGCTAAAACTCTGTCTCAAGCAGGTAGAATTGTTTTAACTCAATCTGTTCTTTCTACTTTACCTTACTATCATATGTAGTATGGTATGATACCGAAGGCTATCTGTATTGAATTGGAGAAACTTCATAGGGCTTTCATTTGGGGGGACTCAGTTGATAAAAAACACATGCATCTTATTGGATGGGATGCTATATCAAGACCAAAGAACCAAGGTGGTTTGGGTATTAAGAAGCTTACAGTGATGAATAAGGCGTTTATTGGGAAAATTGTTTGGAATTTTCTTAATAATCATGATTGTCTATGGGTTAAGGTGTTGCAAGCCAAGTATGGAAGTGTGTTCAATAGGCAGAATGCTTTCATTAGGAGGCCTGGTAACTCGAACCTTTGGAAAGCCATGTGTGATATTTGGCACAAGTTACATACTAGACTGATCTGGGACATAGGTGATGGTTCAACAATTAAATTCTGGGTGGATAAATGGGTGGATCATGATAGCAGTTTAGCTAGCAAGGCTCTCATCCCTCTCTCGGATTCAGATAATGAGAAGACAATTAAGGACTATGTTACTGTAGATGGGATGTGGGATTATGGAGCCCTTTCAAATATGCTTCCGAATAGTCTCATTCAAACTATCAGAAGTATTCTTCCACCTCAAGGGGATGGAGGAGCTGATAGTTTTAGATGGAACATTAAAAATTCTAATGAGATGGTTGTTAAGCATTTGTATAATGCGCTCCTTAATTATGATGGTGAGGAGGATATTGAGCATGGCATCTGGTCTATGATTTGGAAGCTGAAAGTTCCTAATCGTTTTTTTGTTATTTTATGGAAAATTGCTCATCACCGATTGCCAACTAGCTAGAAGTTTGTTGGCCAAAAGAGAATTGACTTTTCCAACTTGTCCGCTGTGCCATTTACATAAAGAAACCATATTACATATGGCTAGAGACTGCAGTAAAATAAATCGGGTGTGGAAAGATCTAATTAGCCCTGTTTTTTATTCTTTATTTTTTAATGCAGATCTAAATTCCTGGTTGTTGTTGAATTTGAAGAACGATGTAATAATGGAGAGAAATGAGCAATGGCCTACGCTTTTTGCTGTTACGGTGGCATGTGCTTGGAGATGGAGGAATGAAGTAGCCCATGGTGAGGAGGATAATTGTTTGGCTTATAAGAGTCAAACAATTATTCAGCAGGTGCATGATATCTCTTATGTTTGGAATCATTCTACGATTGGAAGGACTGTAAAAAGACCGTTTCATATCCCTGTTGTTTGGCAACCCCCTGATACCGGTTGGATTAAAATTAACACAGATGGAGCATCCAAATTTCATGCTGGCGATGCTGCTTGTGGAGGTATTTTGAGGGATGAGATCGGTAGGTGTCTCCAAGGATTTTCCTATCACATAGGTAAGTGTTCAGCCTTTGTGGCTGAACTTTGGAGAATTCTTAAAGGGCTTGAATTGGCTTGGAATGGAGGTTGGCGGCGTTGTTTATTAGAAAGTGATGCTTGCTCAGTAATCACTTTGCTCTCCAAGAGTGGAGATGCAGCTCGAGAGTCTCGTTTGGTGACTCACATTCGAGCATGTTACATAAGGATTGGGAGGTGCGACTGGTTCATGTTTTTAGAGAAAGCAATAGTTGTGCGGACTCGCTGTCTAAGTATCTGTTAGATCACCATTTAGATAATAATTATAGAATTTTTAATTCCCCGCCCCCTGGGATTTTGCCGCAGTATTTGGCTGATTTTTCGTTGGTCTGTAATTTTCGTAGAGTTCTTCTGAATTAGTTTGTTTCGTCTGGGGTTTTTTGCCCCCGCCCCCCTTCCCATTTACCAAAAAAGAAGAAGAGAATTTTAGTGTAGTCATGACCTTGACTGGAATACAGCCAATTCGATGAATATTTTTTTGGGTTTAGCGAGCGCTTTTTTAAATCACATAAGCTTGTGTTTTTTTAGTAATTTTAACTATCTATTTCTAGGAATGAATAATTATAATATTAAAATTATATTATTTTTTTGTTCTCTTTAGAAATTATCTGTTTACGTGAAAATAAAAAAGTACAATTTTAATTATGCATTTTTAGTGAATGCATAATTAAAAAATACTAAAAAAAAAATATAAGCTTGTATTTAAAGGACATCCCCCTATTTTTTTCCCGCACAACGATTTCATGAAAATTAGTCATGCAAAATGTGTATTTTACTTTTCCACGTAGGTGTAGTTATTAAATATTAATCTTAATTGATCTACTCCTATCTGATAATATTTTGTCTTTTCATAGTTACATAAAAGTAGGATTATAAAAATTGTTCCAAATCGTATAACTCATTTATTAACGGAATTACTTTAAA